ATTTATAGCCTGAAATGCCAACATCCAAAAGACAGAAAAATCACAAATCAACAATCTAATGAATTGTCTCAAAGAATTAGAAAATGAAGAGTAAACCAATCCCAAACCCAGCAGAAGAAAAGAAATAACTAAGGTCAGAGCAGAACTAAATGAAATAGATAACAAAAGAATTATACAGAAGATCAATGAAACATAAAGTTGGTTTTCTGAAAAGATAAACAAAACCAACAGGCCTCTCACTAGAATAACCATAAACAGAAAAGAAAGGACTCTAATAAGGTGAATCAGAAATCAAAAAGGAGATATTACAACTGATACCGTGGAAATACAAAATATCATCTCTGAATCCTATTAATATAAAAATCTCTATGCACATAAACTTGAAAATGTTGAGGAAATGGACAAATTCTTGTAAACACACAACTTCCCTAGACTCAATCATGAAGAAATAGAACTGAACAGACCAATATCAAGTAATGAAATTGAAGCAGCAATAAAAAATATCCCAACAACAAAAAAATGTACTGGACCAAATGGTTTCACAGCCAGATTTTACCAGACTTACAAAGAATAACTGGTACCTATAGTGAAGAAATTATTTCATAACATAGAGAAGGAAAGACTCCTTCCCAATTCATTCTAGTAAGCCAATATCACCTTGATACCAAAGCCAGGAAAAAACACAACAAAAAAAAGAAAACTACAGACCAATACCCTTATGAATATAAATGCAAAAATTCCCAATAAAATCCTAGCAAAATGAATTCAGCTGCACATTAAAAAAATAATCCACCACGACCAGGTGGGCTTCATCCCAGAGATGCAAGGATGGTTCAACATATACAAATCTACAAATGTGATTCACCACAATAAATCGAAGCAAAAACAAAGGCCATATGATCCTCTCATTAGATGCAGAAAAAGCATTTGACAAAATTCAGCACCCTTTTATGATAAGGACTCTTAACCAAATAGACATAGACAGAATATACCTTCATATTATAAAAGCCATATACAACAAACCCACAGCAAACATCATACTGAATGGAGAAAAATGGAAAGCATTCCCACTTAGAACTGGTACCAGACAAGATTGCCCTCTATCACCACTTCTATTCAACATAGTGTTGGAAGTCCAATCCAGAGCAATCAGGCAAGAGAAGGAAA